ACAGTGAATCAGGGTTCCAGTCTCTCCACAACCTCGCCAGCATTTGTTGCTGCTGTTCTGTTAAATTTTGCTAGTCTTACTGGAGTGAGATGATATCCTTTTAATGTCAAGAAAACAAAAATTCTTGCCACAGAACCAGTAGGCATCATCTTGATAGATGGAAAAAAGATTGAAACTGTCAACAACTTCATCTTACCTGAATCTACAATTAACACTCTTGGTACCAGCAGTCAGGAAATCAGGAGAGATATTGCACTAGGAAAGTCTACAGTTAGGGACCTCTCCAGATTATTGAGGAGTAATGATGTCAGTTTGAGGAGTATGGTGCATCTGATTCAGGTGATGGTCTTTCTGGTCACTTGCTATGTATCTGAGAGGTGGGAAAGGGATAACAGAAGAAGAATTGATGCCTTTGAGCTGTGATGTTGAAAAAAAGCACTGAACATCCAATGGACTGCCAAAACAACAAACTAATATGTCTTGGGGAAGTGCAGCCAGAGTGCTCTTTGGAGGGAAAGATGCTAAGCTTTGCCTCACATACTTTGGGCATGTTGCTTGGAGGGGCTTTTTCTTGGAGAGAGACATGATATTCAGAAAGTCATTGTACCATAAAGAATTAGCTGATGCAGAAGACTTTCAAGAAACAACTTATGATCAAAAGGCAATGGTGATGAAGAAGGAAGTTCAAGCTAGCTTGAAGGAATTGGTAAAAAAAAAAAAAAGGGAAAAAATGCTACAGGAATTGACAGCATACCAATTGACATATTTTAGCAAACAGATGCTTCCCTGGACATGCTCACCAGTTTGTGCCTAGAAATCTGGAGGATAACTACCTAGTCAACTTACTGGAAGTGATCTATATTTGTTTTTATCCCAATAAAAGGTGATCTGACAGAGTATGGAAACTATTGAACAGTATCACTGAAATCACACACAAGCAAAATCATGCTGAAGATTATGCAAAAGAAACTGGAACAATATGTTGACAGAGAACTACCAGAAATATAAGCTGGGTTTAGAAGAAGTCATGGCACTAAGGATACTATTGTCAATGTCAAATGGATCTTGGCAGAAAGCAAAAAGTACCAGAAGAATGTCTATCTGTGCTTCATTGACTAGACAAATGCATTTGACTTGTGGCTAACCTTGAAAATAAAGGGAATCCTAAAACACTTGATTGTATTCATGTGAAACCTACATTGGACAAGGAGGCATTCATTATAATAGAACAAGGAAACTCTACATGGTTCAAAATTAGGAGAGGAATGTGTCAGGGGTACATATTATCCCCATACCTTCTCAACCTATATGCAGATGATTTGAGAGGTTGGACTTTATGAGGAGGAGTGTGGAGTCGGGATTGGAAGAAGATTCATCTATAAACCTATGTTATTTTGATGACACAACTTGCTTGCCTAAACTGAGGACCTGAAGCAATTGCAGCAGAAGGTCTAAGACTGTAGTCTTCAATATGGATTGAAGCTGGCAAAGATTCTTACCTCTGAACCAATTGGCAGCACAATGATAGAAGGAGAAGAGATGGAGGTTGTTACCAATTTCAACTTTCTTAGCTCCACAATCAATACTCTTGGCATCAGCAGTCAGAAATTAAAAGATGAATTGTATTTGGGGAAGTCTGCTGTCAGGAACCTCTCCAGAGTGGTGAAGAGCAATGATGTTAGTCTAGAGACTAAGGTGCACCTGATACAGTCCATGGTCTTCATAATTACATGCTATGCATTAAAGAGCTCGACAATGACCAAAGATGACAAAAGAATTGATGCCTTTGAGTTGTGGTGCTGGAGATGAGTATTGAGCATTCCACGGACTGCTAGGAGAACAAATAGGTCTGTCTGTCTTAGAGAGGGTGAAACCAAGATTTCCTTGGAGACAAGGATTTTTGAAGCTCTGTCTCACTTACTTTGTTCATGTGGCCATGAGGGACCAGGCCTTGGAGAAAGATATCATGCTTTGAGGGGTGGAGAGACAATTCAGGAGAGGAGACGCTCGATGAGATGCATTAAAATGATAAATGGGGCAATAGGATTAGGTGTATCAGAGTCAGTGAGACTGGCTCAGGATAGGGCTGAGTTCAGGGCAGTTGTTCATAGGGTCACTTTGAGTTGTAGGAGACTTGATGGTACATAATGACAACAGCAACACGTTGCCTTATCTTGACCCACTTCAGAACTGCTCTTATTCAACTCCCAGTGATCCCAAGTGACAAAAATAGAAACTCCGTAATGACTTCCTAGGCAGTCTATACAGGGTGAGGTTGCTAGGTCTTTCTTCCATGGAGTTCACACTACCATCCACTTAGAAGACATCATAGCACTTAACATGCCACAAGGTCCCCTTTCACCCCAGAACTAGCTAACTTCTGAGTCTTGTCATCTCACTTTACCTTTCCTGCTGTACCTAACTTCTACTTTCCTTTCTACCTTTTTTTCTACTTTTTGTTGACAACCTTTTCAAACATACAAAAAGTACAAAACAACATAAAGATCTCAATATACGTATCAAAGCAACAGTACTTATTAACGTAGACCAAGTTTTGGTGTGTTGGTTTTTTTTCCCCTATCCAGACCTTTCTTCCACGATCTTGAACATCCATTCTATTGTTGGATTATTTTAAAGCAAATCTCAGATACTTTGATTTAATTAATAAGTATTTCAGTAACAATAGAGAGCTAGATAGATTTTGGTTTATAATTTAATCCACAATATCATTATCATATCCTAAAATATTGGGCCTTGTCAGTGTCAGATTTTTAGTAATTTTATAAGTGACTTTTACAGTTGGTTTGTTTGATTCTGAATACACACAAAGAACACACATTGGATCCTAAACACAACACTGCACTCTTCTGTGCCACCTCCACATGACACATGTCTTTCTCAGAAACAGAGATATTTTATCTGAGAAAATCAACAATTTAAAATATATTCCCAGTGGAACTAATACCTAGTTCATATGTGCCTAGAAGGAATTACATTCAATAGTTGTTATTGTTGTTAAGTGTCATCAAGTTGACTTCCGTTTGTAGCAACATTATGAATATAGGTCAGAGCCTGGCCCTGTCCTGCTCCAACCTCACAATCTCTAATAGGTTTGATCTCATTGTTACAGACAGTGTGTAAATCCATCTAGTAGAAAATCTTCCTCTCTTTCTCCGACTTACAACTTTCCCAGTCTGATATCATTTTCTGAGGTTGGGCTCCTCTTAACAATATGCCCAAAGCATGTGAGATGAAATTTTATTCTCTTTGCCTCTAAGCAGGACCCTCTTTGTACTTCCACCAAGAAAGACTTGCTTATTCTTCTAGAAGTCCTTGAATATTCAGTATTCTTCTCCAACACCACAATTCAAAATTATCAATTCTTCTTCCATCATCCTTATTCATGGTCCACTTTTCAGATGCATATGAAGCAATTACAAATACTCTGCCTATTATCAGGCAAGTAATGCCTGGAAAACAATGAGTCTATGTGAAATGAAGATGATATAATGGCATGTTGATTCATCATCTGTTCTCAGGAAATTCACTTGTGTTCATCAATGATAATTCAATTCTGCTTTATACTCTACTTTTATGACAAAGATTCATCACGGAGTAGGGCCAACTCTATTCATTTAGTTGTTCTTTGCCACTTAGAAGTTTTCCCTAACTCATGGCTACCCCACATACAGCAGAGAAAAAGGTTGCTTGGTCCATTGTCATCTTAAAGGCCTGTTGCAGACTAGACCATTGTTATTCATAGTGTTTTAATCTATCGGCAACTTCATAGGAGAAAGATGAGAAGTCTTGGAAACCTGGAGTATTGTTATGGTTTGGAATCAACTTGTTGGTAATGAATATGAATTTTGAGTTTGTTCCTAGAAAAAAATGGATGAATGAAAATCTAACTTTTCTGTAAACTTTCATAAAATTACAAGTAAATTAAAAAAATTATATATAATAAAAAGATTTCCCTGTCTTGTTTTCTCCCCCCTAAATTCATCTTAGCCTGTTCAAAATCTTAAGAGCACACAAACCTTCACTGATGGACAGATAGTAGCTATCTATGAGGTGAACTGGCTGATAATCCAATGTGTGTTTTCCAGACAGATGGCAAAAGTTTTAATGTTAGAAAAATCAGTAAGATGTAAATGATACTGGCTTAGAATTCTGTCTTTAGCTCTGAGCTGAAAATATGATGAGAATATGCCTGCTTGATCACTCTTCACTTGAAGTGGGGAAAGAACCTGGAAATGGGTCATGCCTTTGATGGAATATTCTCGTTATGCAAATTTTTGAGTTTTCATGTTCTTTTCATTCTGTTTTGAACTTGAAGGTCTAGTGATCCTCCACTGTGTTGTGGCAGATGGGAACTCAACCAGGAGTCCTGCAACAGAAGATCTCTGTGGAGAGTCTGGGAAAAACTGTGCAGGTAATACAAACCTAGGAAAATGAATACATTTTGTTAGCTTCATAATTCAGTCTCAGGAGGAAGAAGCTCTTTTTTCAGTTTTGATATTTTGATTGTAATAGTAATAAAATACTAGGTAATATTTTGTGTACAATCAATGTAATAGGCACTGTGTTGAGTGCTTTAAAACCTGTGCCAATGAGTTGATTTTAACTCAAAGATAGAGTAGAACTTCCCTAAAGGGGTTCCAAGGCTGTAGATCTGAATAAAAACTATTCATTTCCTATTGAGCCTTATAGACTAGGTAATTTTTTATTTTTTTACTTTGTTTCAGTGGGAGGAGGGTTAAGATAAGAATGGCATAACAGGTATCAATACTCAGGTCTTTCTGATTTTATTTCTTTAGAAATATTATTTGTGATGTAACAGACATATGCTCCAGATTGGGAAATTAGTTCATTCTTATTAAAATGTAAATTCTTTTTGCTATTCTACATCTGGAAATAAGAGAAAGCAACAGTTTTACATATATTGTTGTTGTTGTGTACCGTAGAGTCAGAACTGACTGATAGCTGACCATACAGTGGGTTTTCAGAGGCAGTTCATTGTATGGGAGGAGATTGCCCATCCTTTTCCTGGGGAGCAGCTGGTGGCCTCCAACCATGGGCCTTTGAGATTGCATCACAACTTCTTGCCAGTAGACCACCAGGGCTCTTTACATATATTACCTAGAGTTCTATTCTAAAATAGTTAATGCAAAAGTTAGCCTTAATAAAAGATTGAATGCTAAATATATTAGGCTTGTGGGCACAAGTAGTCAACTCTACCGTTACAGCGTAAAACAATCTCACAACCAGTAAGTAGGCCAGATTTGGTCTGTAGACCATAATTAGCTGACACTTTTCTAAGATTTAGGGAGCTTTGGTGGCCTAGTATGTCAGAAGTTACATTGCTGACCCAAAGTCAGATGGTTCAGTCCCACTAGCTTCTCTGAGGAGAAATATGTCTTCCTCTGACAACCCACTGGAGGGTCAGCTGTGAGTCAGTTCCACCTGAGATGAACTGCATTTGACTCTAAGTTTCTATCTATTGCACATTTGGTTTGTATGGTCTAGTTGTCTGCTAGAGTTGTTTATAGAATACATGCCAGTATAAAGTAGGATGATGAAGTGAAGAACATACTCTGTTCTCTGGAAATTTCTCTAAGCTACACTATGGAGTGTGGGTGATTCCATGTTAAGTGCTTTTATTCTTAGTACCCTGGAGAAGTTGTAACTGAACCAAGACATGCTAGGCAGATCATCTTGATATGAGTCACTGGTTCTCATTTAATTTTTTTTTTCTTTCTTCTCACTAGTCAATGGTCAAGAGGTGCTCATTGCTGTGAAAAACAAGAGTGTTTTAGGGCATGTTTGTGGAGAACTTATAAAGGGAGGGGAACAAAACCATTTTATAGGTTTAGGTGTTTTCCTTCGGTCTGGGTTTAACTATCTTAAATAATGACCTTTTCACATTTCCTTTGACAAATTATTCCATGATCCAATGACTGACCATGTTAAAAACTCTGCATCACCATCCTAAATGTATTTTGCATTTTTTGCATGCTACAAATGAATGTTGTGTTTGTATTTCTTTCTAATAGCTTTTGACAAAGAAGATGTCCCAAAATAGACAAATTATCAGTAGCCCACTCTAAGCTGTTTTGATGGTTCATCAATTTTCTACTGCTTAGAGCATCAACATTTTCCCAACAGGAAATGACTTTTTAATCTTTGCATTCTCAAAGTAACTCTCAGTGATGTGTTGTTTATAATCTTTTCCCCAGGGTGTCATATGCATAACCAGCTAATATATAATGCCAATGTCTCAGAGAGTATGAATATTTTAGAATATAAGATGTAGCTTTAATTTTTTAATTAAAAGATTATACACACATATACACACACAAAGACACAGAGCGAGATCTTATACAGATTACATATATAAGCAATTCAATACTTATTTCTTCATAATTTTTTTTAATTTCTGGTTTTTTTCTTACTACCATTTTTGTTTCTTTTTGACAGTGCAAGTCTATATTCCAAAAGTTATAGATGTAGTTATTATGTACTGTTGATTTACAATTGACTCATAAATGACCCCTCAATGGGTTTTGAGAGACGATAAATTACACAGGAGGAAATTAACCATCTTTCTTCTGTGAAGCAGCTTGTGGATTCAAACTACCTGCCATTGGGTTGGCAATGCAACTCCTTACTTCTAAGCCTACAGATTGATTGTTGTTGTTATATGCCATCAAGTAGCCTATGAATCACAGAGATCCTATGCACAACAGCCCTAAACCCTGCTCTGTCCAGTGCCAATCTCATCGTCTCTGACACACGTACCCCCATTACTCTAGTCACTGAATCAATCCATTTCATAGAAGGTTTTCCTCTCCTGCACTGTCCTTCCACCCTCCCAAGTATGACATCCTTCTCTAAGAACTGGTCCCTCCTGCAACATGTCCAAAGTATGTCAGAAAAAGCTTATCATCCTTGCCTCCAAGGAGTAGCCTGTTTTAACCATCTTCAGGATGAACCTGTTCATTTTTTTAACAGTCCATGATATATTCAATACTCTTCTCCAGCATCACAGCTCAAAGGCATCAATTCTCGTTCTATCATCCCTAGTCATTTTCCAGCTCTCTGATGCATAACAAGTGATTGCAAAGACCA